GCAGCGATGCCCATTGGAAGTGCAGCGTGAGTGTAATCGGTGAGCAGGGATTTGATTTCTGTGACAGCAGGGAGGATCATCCCCAGGTTCCCCAGCTCCTTCTGCATTTTGTCTGTGAGGTCTGCTAGTGGTGTCAGCACACGGACAAGGTGCGTCAGCTGCCGTACTTGATTCAGGGTGATGTTAGCAACATTAGACTTGAGTTTGTTTTACCATAACGGGTCTTTTTGGAACAACCGGATGAACGACTGAATCATCCGCAGCTGGCTGCTCCATCGAATGGCGCAGGCATTTGTGGGGCGGACACCTAATTGGTCGGTTTCCTCTGTGCTCTTGCGTACACTTTTCACCAGGTGCCCGACTTTCACTAACAGCCTATTAATGTTGTCGTGCTTGTTAACGGCGTTTTTGATCGCCAGCTGAAGCATGTGAATGGGGCATCTCAGATGTAAATTTGACAAAGTAAAGTACTGATTTATCATAGTTTCTTGGGGGAGTGTAGCCCGGTTGAGCTGCGCTGGCGAAGTGTTGCATCCCTTCGCGTTCTCCTTTACTCAGCGGTTCATAGTCCATGAAAATCATTTCAAAAAATGCTACATCCAGCTCTCTTTTTCTCTCCCTTGTTATGGTTGGGCCTTTGCGTGCAGTGAATAAACTTTTGAATTCCTCAACCCTTTTCTCTTGTTGCTGCTGCTGCTCCTCTCGCTCTATAAAATACAAATTAATGGACGACACAAATTAAATTAAACAGATGGATTCTGGGTCAGGCTTGAGCATGCTTCAGACTCGTGGTGTGAGCGAGCAAAATTGGAGCGGGACATAGGGCGACGCTCCGTCCTTTTAAAAATGCCGCTCTGCGCTCTGTTCAAAATCCGTCCGCTCACGCTCCACGCTCGCTCCCGCTCCACTCCGCTCATATGCTCTGAAACAGACTCTGTCTCTCTGAACTCTGAACTCTAAATAGGTCTACAAATAGACTGTCTCTCTGAACTCTGAACTCTGAATAGGTCTACAAATAGACTCTGTCACTCTGAACTCTGAATTGGTCTACAAACAGACTCTGTCTCTGAACTCTGAACTCTGAATAGGTCAACAAACAGACTCTGTCTCTCTGAACTGTGAACTCTGAATAGGTCTACAAACAGATTCTGTCTCTGAACTCTGAATAGGTCAACAAACAGACTCTGTCTCTCTGAACTCTGAATAGGTAAAAAAACAGACTCACAGTCCTGGAGAATTATTGTTCTTGATCCATTAGGTGTGTGTGTTTTGAAGGGTGTGTCACTGGGTTGGTGGCGTGCTCGTGTCATGTCCTTGGTTATTGTGCATCCATGTATGTGTATGCCAGAATGTGTCTGATCCTGTGTGTGTCTGATCCTGTGTGTGTGTGTGGTGTGTCTGATCCTGTGTTGTGTGTGTTGTGTCTGATCCTGTGTGTGTGTGTGTGTGGTTCGCCGATAATGTGATGCTGTGTGTGTTGTCTGATCACTGGGTGTGTGTGTGTGTGTCTGTCCTGTGTGAATGTGGTGTGTGTGTGTGTGTCGATCCATGTTGTGGTGGTCTGATGCCTTGTGTGTCGATCCTCGGTGTATGTGTTCTTTTTTCCTTTTGTTTTGGTGGTTGGGGGGGTTGTTGGGGGTGTGTGGTGGTGTGTGGGGGTGTGTGTGTGTTTTGGGGGTTTTCGAAAAAGGGGGGTTTTTTCCCTTGTGGGGGTGTGGGGGGGTTTTTTTCCCTGGTGGGGGGTAGGGTGGAGGGGGTTTTTTTATTTTTGTGGGGGGGTTTGGGGGTTTTGGGGGGGGGTTTTTTTTTTTGTGGGGGGGTGTTTAAAAGAAAAGGGAAAAACCCCCTTAATATTCCTTGCGCAGGGGAGGACACTGAAAAAGGGGGAAAAAATTTTCCCCTTGCTTTGAGGGGGGGACATGAAAAAAGGGGGGGCCCCTTAAAAATTTTATTGCTGAAGGGGAGTGACATGAAGAAAAGGGAAAAAGAATAAAAAAATACCTTGGGGGGGGGAAGTGACAAAAGGAAAGGGAAGTTTAAAATTTTATCTGTGGGGGAAAAGGAAGAAAAAGGGGAAAGAAAGGAGTGAGGGGGGAAAAGGGAAATAAAAGAGGAGGAAGAAAAATGATGGAGGGGAAGACAGAGGAGGAGAAATAATGAAAAAGGAGGGAAGGGGGAAAAGAAGGAAAAAAGAGAAAAAAGAGGAAAGGGAAAAAAAAAAAAAGGAGAAAGGAGGAGGGAGGAGAGGGGAGGGAGAGGGGGAGGGAGGGGGGGAGGGGGAGGAGAGGGAGGGAGGAGAGGGGGGGAGAGGGAGGGGGGGAGAAGGGAGGAGGGAGGGAGGGGGGAGGGGGGGAGGGAGGGAGAGGGGGGGAGGAGAGGGAGGAGAGGGAGGGAGAAGGGGAGGGGGGGGGGGAGGGATGGGAGGGGGGAGGAGGGGGAGGAGAGGGAGGGAGAGGGGGGGGGAGGGAGGTGAGGGGGGGAGGGAAAAGGGGGGGAGGGAGGAGGGGGAGGGAGAGGGAGGGAAGGGGGAGGGGGGAAGAGGGAGGGGGAGAGGGGGAGAGGGAGGGAGACGGGGGGAGGGAGGGGGAGAGGGGAGGAGAGGGGGGAGGAGGGGAGGGGGAGGGGAGGGAGACGGGGGGGGAGGGGGGGAGGAGGGGTGGAGGGGGGAGGGAGGAAGGGGAGGGGGGGAGAGGGGGGGAAGGGAGGGAGGAGAGGGAGGGAGAGGGAGGGAGGAGAGTGGATGGAGAGGGAAGGGGAGAAGGGAGGGGGAGGGGGGTGGATGGAGAGGGAGGGAGGAGAGGGAGGAGAGAAGAAGGGGGAGGGGGGGGAGGGGATGGAGAGGGGGGAGGGGGGAAAGGGAGGGGGGAGGGGAGATGGGGGAGGGGAGGGGGGAGGGAGGGGGGAGGGAGGGGGAGGGAGGGGGAACTGGGAGGGGGAGGGGGGAGAGGGGAAAAAAAGGGGGGGAGGGGGAGGGAGGGGGGGAAGGGGGGGGGAGGGGGAAGGGAGGGAGAGGGAGGGAGGGGGGGGAGGGGGGGAGGAGGGGGGGGAAAAGGGGAGGAGGGGAGGGGGGGGGGAGGGGGAGAGGGATGGAGGGAGGGGGGGAGGGGGGGGGAGGGAGGGGAGGGAAAAGGGAAAGGGAGGGGGGAGGAGGAGGGGAGGAGAGGGAGGGGAAAAGGGAGGGAGGGGAGGGGGAGGGAGGGGAAAAGGGGGGAGGGTAGGGGGGGAAGGGGAGGGAGGGGGGGGGAAAGAGGGAGGAGGGGGAGGGGGAAATGGAGGGAGGGAGGGAGAAAGGGAGGGAGGGGGGAGGAGAGGGGGAGGAGAGGGGGGGAGGAGAGTGGATGGAGAGGGAGGGAGGAAGTGGGGGAGAGGGGGGGGGGAGGGGGGGAAGTGGGGGAGAGGGAGGGAGGAGAGTGGATGGGAGGGGGGAGAAGGGGAGGGAGGGAGGAGAGGGAGGGAGAGGGGGGGAGGGAGGAGAGTGGATGGAGGGGGAGGAGGGAGGAGAGGGTGGAGGAGGGGAGGAGAAGGGGGGGGAGAGGGAGGGGAGAGGAGGGGAGGGGAGGGGGAGGAGGAGAGGGAGGGAGAGGGGGGGGGAAAAAGGGAGGGAGGGAGGAGGGGAGGAGAGGGAAAAAAGGAGAGGGAGGAGAGGGAGGGGGGGGGGGAGGGAGGGAAAAGGGAGGGGAAAAGGGAGGGAGGAGAGGGGGAAGGGGGGGGGGGGGGGGGGGGGATGGAGAGGAGGGGGGGAAGGGGCGGGGGGGAGGGAGGGGGAGGGGGGAGGAGGGAGGGAGGGGGAGGGGGATGGAAGAAGGGGGGGAGAGGGAGGAGAGGGAGGGAAAAGGGGAGGGGGGGAGGGAGGGGGAGAGGGGGGGAGGGGGAGGAGGAGAGGGGGGAGAGGGAGGGAGGAGTTGGAGGAGGGGGGGAGGAGGGAGGGAGGAGGAGAGGGGGAGGGGGGAAAGGGGGGGGGGAGGAGGAGAGGGAGGGAGGAGGGGGAGGGAGGGGGAGGAGGAGAGTGGAGGGAGAGAAGGGGGGGAGGGGGGAGGGGAGGGGAGGAGAGGGAGGGAGGGAGGGAGGAGGAGAGTGGGAGAGGAGAGGGAGGGGGGAGGGGGGGGGGGGGAGGGATGGGGAGAGGGGGGGGGGGGAGGAAGAGTGGATGGGAGGGGGGGAGGAGAGGGAGGGAGAGGAAGGGAGGAGGTGGATGGAGGGGGGGAGGAGAGGGGATGGAGGGGGAGGGGGGGGGGGGGGGGGAGAGGGGAGGGGGGGGGAGGGAGGGAGGGGGGGGGGAGAGTGGAGGGAGGGAGGGAGGGAGGGAGGGAGGGGGGGGAGGGAGGGAGGAGAGGGAGGGAGGGGGGAGGAGGAGAGGGAGGGGAGGGGAGGAAGGGGGGGGGAGGGAGGGAGGGAGAGGGGGGGGGAGGAGAGTGGAGGAGGGGGGGGAAAGGGGGGGGGAGAGGGGGGGGAGGGAAGGAGGAGAGTGGGGAGGGGGGAGGAGGGGGAGGGGGGAGGGAGGGGGAGGGAGGGGGGGGGGGGGAGGTGGAGGAGGGGGGGGGAGGGGGGGGAGGAGAGGGGGAGGGGGGAGGAGGGAGGGGAGGGGGGGGAGGAGAGTGGATGGAGAGAGAGGGGGGGAGGAGAGTGGATGGAGAGGGAGGGAGAGGAAGGGAGGAGAGTGGATGGAGGGGGGATGAGAGTGGATGGAGAGGGAGGGGGAGGGAGGGGGGGGGAGAGTGGATGGAGAGGGAGGGAGGGAGGGAGGGAGGGGGGGGGAGAGTGGATGGAGAGGGAGGGAGGGGGGAGGGAGGGAGGAGAGTGGATGGAGAAGGAAGGAGGGAGGAGAGTGGATGGAGAGGGAGAAAGGAGAGTGGATGGAGGGAGGGAGAGAGAGGGAGGAGAGGATGGAGGGAGGGAGAGTGGCTTGTGTACCCGTGGATGCAAAAGAGAGCGTGAGAGAGTGTGAGTGGGAGAGAAAGGGAGTGAGGGAGGAAAGCAAGGGAGGGAGGAAAGGGGGAAAGATGAAGCTCATTGCAGTCTCTGGGCTGGTGACTGAAGGAGGGAGGGGGAGGAGAGGGAAGGAGAGGAGAGGAGAGGAGAGGTTTAGCTACTTCTGTCTGAGAATCGATAGCTATCGTCTGCATACCGGATGGCATCTCCAGCACACAGTACTGCAGACAGGGATAGCATCTCTCTTAGCATCTCTGTTAGCATCTCTAACTAAATACAAATAGGAATTAACATTTCTACTTTAGCATCTTAAGCTAACTATGTAGGATTTTCAAAATGAGCCGTTAGCATTTCTAATATAATTGAATAGAGGACTTAGCATTTAGCTAATGACATCATCGGTCTCTCTATGCTACCTTGCTAGCTTACACATGTTGTAGGGAGCCGGCACAGACGCTCCTCTCTCTCTCTCTCTCTCTCTCCTCTCGCTATCTCTCTCTCTCTCTCTCTCTCTCTCTCTCCCACTCTCTCTCTCTCTCCCACTCTCTCTCTCTCTCTCTCTCTCTCTCTCTCTCTCTCTCTGTCTCGCTCACTCACTCACACACACTCCATCCCTCTCTCATCCCCACCCACACCCAAGGATTCTCCCTCTCCCTCTCCTCTATATCTCTCTCTCTCTCTCTGTCGATCTCTGTCTTTTTAGGAGAAGAAGGGATGCTTGTTTGATTCCTCTTATTGAACTGACTCTTTTTGATGCTGTAGACTTTAAACCCTTTGTGTGCTGGTTACTTTGCCCTACCTGTGGAGGATCCTGGTAGTCAGCCAGCCTCTGGAGCGTGTTGTAGCCCCAGCCGCAGCCACCATGCTGGGCTTGGATGTGTGTGAGTTTGGGGGTCAGGTTCTGGAGCTTCTCTGGCTAACCATGTGCTACCAAGGTGACTGCCTTTTATGTTGTTTTACCGCTGTGTGTGTGTGTGTGTGTGTGTGTGTGTGTGTGTGTCTTTCTGTCTCTAATCTAATCTCAGTGTAGATTATTTTCTCAGTGTGTGTGTGTGTGTTATCGGTCTCTAGGTGGGTGGAGATGGTTTTATGTTTGATATGATAAGACAAGCCAAAGGTGGTCCATATTGTATTGATCATGCATCCTTTGTGGTGTGTGTGTGTGTGTGTGTGTGTGTGTGTGTGTGTGTGTGTGTGTGGTGGTTGTTGTAATTACATGTCTCAGGTCTTGTTGAATCAGGGCTTTTCGGTTCACACACTCCTGGTTGTCTGCCAATTGGGCGTATGTATGTGTGTGTGTGTGTGTGTGTGTGTCTGTTAGCTGAATGATGTCACCACATTTACCATACCATTCCCCCCCCCCCAGTCAAAGTGATGGATGATAGTGTGTGTGTGGGGGGGGGGGGAGAGCAGACACATGTTACACTGAGTGAATCAATTAGACGTTCTCCCCAAGGCGTTTGTGTAGATGCCTGCGTTCGTTCGTGTGTTTACGTAGATGCCTGCGTTCGTTCGTGTGTGTGTTTGTGTGTCCTCCGCCCCATTGCCTTCTGAGTGTATCCAGTAAAATCCCAGTAAAATGCACTGGCCCATGTAACAATCTCATAAAGGGACATGAGAGAGAGACAAACATCCTCCCTACGACCAACAGTATTCCAACCAACCTACTACTGTGTGTCTGTGTGTGTCAGTGTGTGTCAGTGTGTGTCAGTGTGTGTCTGTGTGTGTCAGTGTGTGTCTGTGTGTGCCTGCCTGTGTGTGTGTGTCTGAGGAGACTCCTAGGAATAAAGGGGGACCCCCCCCCCCCCCCCCCCCCCCCCCCTATCTCTGTTTTAGGCCATCGTTGTAAATAAGAAATTTGTTCTTAATTGACCCTTGGCTAAGCCCCGCCCCAGAACCAATCGCAACACTCCAATGGAGAGCAACTGCCGTCGACAAGCTCATCGCATGAAAGGCAGTGAGGGCTGTGGCAAAACGATGAGTTTTCTTTAAAAAAATAATTAGTTTAAATGGATAAATAGTTAAACATTGCACCAGGGGTACTGTGATTCCTGAAATGCAGTCTGTTGATGTAGTATTTTTTAAAAATCCATAATTATACTTTCGTTACATTGTTGCTCAGCTGGTTAGCTAGATCACTTAATATAACTTGTTTTCTCGAAATGTACACTTAACAAAAAAAATTACGCAACATGTAAAGTGTTGGGTCCCATGTTTCATGAGCTGAAATAAAAGATCCCAGAAATGTTCCATACGCACAAAAAGCTTCAGACGGCGTGTTCCAGTTCCCGCCAATATCCAGCAACATCACACAGCCATTGGAGAGGAGTGGGACAACATTCCACAGGCCACAATCAACAGCCTGATCAACTCTATGCGAAGGAGATGTGTCGCGCCGCATGAGGCAAATGGTGGTCACACCAGATACAAGAAACTGACTGATTCTGATCCACGCCCCTACTTTTTTTTTAAGGTACACTACATTGCCAAAAGTATGTGGACACCTGTTCGTCGAACACCTCATTCCAAAATCATGACCTTTAATATGGAGTTGGTCCCCCCTTTGCTGCTATAACAGCCTCCACTCTTCTGGGAAGGCTTTCCACTAGACGTTGCAACATTGCTGCGGGGACTTGCTTCCATTCAGCCACAAGAGCATTAGTGAGGTTGGGCACTGATGTTGGGCGATTAGGCTCGCAGTCAGCGTTCCAATTCATCCCAAAGGTGTTCGATGGGGTTGAGGTCAGGGCTCTGTGCAGGCCAGTCAAGTTCTTCCACACCGATCTCGACAAACCATTTCTGTATGGACCTCGCTTTGTGCACGCGAGTATTGTCATGCTTAAACAGGAAAGGGCCTTCTCCAAACTGTTGCCACAAAGTTGGAAGCAGAGAATCGTCTAGAATGTCATTGTATGCTATAGCGTTAAGATTTCCCTTCACTGGGGGAAACCAGCCCGAACCATGAAAAACAGCCCCAGATCATTATATATAATATAATATGCCATTTAGCAGACGCTTTTATACAAAGCGACTTACAGTCATGCGTGCATACATTTTTGCGTATGGGTGGTCCCGGGGATCGAACCCACTACCTTGGCGTTACAAGCACCGTGCTCTACCAGCTGAGCTACAGAGGACCATTATTCCTCCTCCACCAAACTTTACAGTTGGCACTATGCATTCGGGCAGATGGCGTTCTCCTGGCATCCGCCAAACCCAGATTAGTCCGTCGTACTGCCAGATGGTGAAGCGTGATTCATCACTCCAGAGAAAGCATTTCCACTGCTCCAGCGTCCAATGGGGGCGAGATTTACAGCACTCCAGCCAACGCTTGGCATTGCGCATGGTGATCTTAGGCTTGTGTGCGGCTGCTCGGCCATGGAAACCCATTTCATGAAGCTCTCGACAAACAGTTATTGTGCTGACGTTGCTTCCAGAGGCCGTTTGGAATTCTGTAGTGAGTGTTGCAACAGAGGACAGATGCGCTTCAGCACTCGGCGGTCCCGTTCTGTGAGCTTGTGTGGCCTAACACTTTGCGGCTGAGCCGTTGTTGCTCCTAGACGTTTCCACATCACAATAACAGCACTTAGTTGACCGGGCAGCTCAAGCAGGGCAGAAATTTGACTAACTGACATGACGGTGCCACGTTGAAAGTCACTGAGCTTTTCAGTATGGGCCATTCTACTGCCAGTGTTTGTCTATGGAGATTGCATGGCTGTGTGCTCGATTTTATACACCTGTCAGCAATGGGTGTGGCTAATTTGAAGGGGTGTCCACATACTTTTGGTCATGTATTGTATCTGTGACCAGATGCATATCTGTATTCCCAGTCATGTGAAATCCATAGATTAATGAATGTATTTCAATTTACTGATTTCCTTTTATGAACTGTAACTCAGTAAAATCTTAGAAATTGTTGCATGTTGCGTTTTATATTTTTGTTCAGTATATGTTAGCTAACTAAGTTAGCAATGGTATCAATACAACTCCCATCAGGATACGATTTGAGAGCGCTAGTTAGCTCCAAAAGTGGTAATAGCTTTGACTGCTTGCTGACAGTGACTTCAGAGCCATTCAGTGGCTAGCCATAATGCAAACATCATTTGACCAGGTTTTACCTCGAAGCAGTCCACCACAACATACCCAATAGTCTTGTGATTAGCAAGAGGTTGTCTGTGTTTAATTTCATTGTGTATGAGAAACATTGTTTGAGATCATGACATTTTACATTTACATTTTAGTCATTTAGCAGACGCTCTTATCCAGAGCGACTTACAGTTAGTGAGTGCATACATTTTTCATACTGGCCCCCCCGTGGGAAACGAACCCACAACCCTGGCGTTGCAAGCGCCATGCTCTACCAACTGAGCTACATGGGGCCCCAGTTTAGTCACATAATTTCTCAATTTACAATATGTCTGCCAATCAGATGTGAAGCCAGACATATTTGCCACTCCCTTTGCTTTATTTCTCTCAACTACACAGTTTTTCAATTCCTCATCAATCCAGGGGACCTTAACAGTTCTAATAACTGGAAGAAACAAAATAATGTTTCGTATGCATCTCATCTTTTGTGGGACTCTACCCTTCTATCCACCTCCACATCCCCAAAAACATTTAAATAACTTCAGCTAAAAGCTAGAAACAGTGCTGTTTTAAACATAGAGCTACAGTAAGATTCAGATTGATAAAATAAAATAAAAGGAGTTAAAGTTTAATTTTTAAAAATGATTCTAAAATAATGTTTTAATACAAATCAAACAGTAAACAGGACTAGATGTGCGACTTCTCTCCAACATCATTGGGAGGGGATTTCGCCTGTGGTTGAATGAGGAATTGGGCTTCCCGGGAAAATGTTGTCCGAGGTCTAAACAGCGAAGGGCAAATTGACTTACCTGGTTAAATACAGGTTGAAAAATAAATCATCCCCAGCTGCAGGCTGTTGGTTTTTCTGTAATTCAGTAGAGAGCCATATTCCCAGTCCTGACTCAGATGTTTATGTTTATGCAAAGCTCCATTGACGTCAATAATACTTGATCACACCATTGTGTGAATTTTGTGAGGATGTGCCCCAAGTCTGTGGTATCCAGTGTGCATCTGACAAAACTACTGTACCCCCGCTGACCATACATGGTATACACCCCACTGCAAACTACTGTCCCCCGCTGACCATACATGGTATTACCCCATCTGACAAAAATACTGACCCCCGCTGACCATACATGGTATTACCCCATCTACCTCTTAACCATACTGGTTTCCCCATCACACCTGTACCCCCGACCATACATGGTATTACCCCCATCTGACAAAACTATGTACCCCGCTGACCATATGGATTACCCCCCCTAGCCCCCGCGACCATACTGTATACCCATCTGAAAAAATACTGTACCCCCCTACAGACTGTTTACCCCATTGCACTATGTACCCCGTGACCATACTATTACCCCATCTGACAAAACTACTGTACCCCCGCTGACCATACATGGTATTACCCCATCTGACAAAACTACTGTACCCCCGCTGACCATACATGGTATTACCCCATCTGACAAAACTACTGTACCCCTGCTGACCATACATGGTATTACCCCATCTGACAAAACTACTGTACCCCCGCTGGACCATTACTGGGTATTACCCCATCTGACCAAAACTTACTGTACCCACCGCCTGACCATAAATGGGTATTTCCCCCATCTGACAAAACTACTGTTACCCCCGCTGACCACATGGGTATTACCCCATCTGACAAAACTACTGTAACCCCGCTGGACCATACATGGTATTACCCATCTGACAAAAACTTACTTACCCCCCGCTGGACCATACATTGGTTATTACCCCATTGACAAAACTACTGTACCCCCGCTGACCATAACATGGTATTACCCCATATCTGACAAAACTACTGTGACCCCCCGCTGACCCATACATGGTATTTACCCCATCTGACCAAAAATACTGTACCCCCCGCTACCAACATTTTATTACCCCATCTGACAAAACTACTGTACCCCCCCCCTGACCATACATGTTTATTACCCCATCTGACCAAAACTACTGTACCACCCTGACCATACAGGGGTATTACCCCCATCTGACAAAACTACTGTACCCCCGCTGACCATACATGGTATTACCCCAAAGTGTTCTCAGTTGGACTCAGTTGGTTGGACTCAGTCGGCTGGACTCAGTTGGTTGGACTCAGTTGGTTGGACTCAGTTGGTTGGACTCAGTGGGTTTGGGAAACTCATTTGGGTTTTGGACTCAGTTGGTTGGACTCAGTTGGTTGGACTCAGTTGGTTGGACTCAGTCGGTTGGACTCAGTTGGTTGGACTCAGTTGGTTGGACTCAGTTGGTTGGACTCAGTCTTTTGGACTCAGTTGGTTGGACTCAGTTGGTTGGACTCAGTCGGTTGGACTCAGTTGGTTGGACTCAGTTGGTTGGACTCAGTCGGTTGGACTCAGTCGGGACCCGAACCAGCGACCTCTCGGCCACCGCCCCAAGCTCCCAACTGCCAGGCCACCAACCATCCAAGGTCCCCCCCCAGTTCCCCCATGAGAGCTGCCCCTCAACACACAATCTTTAGTGTTGAAAGCTCCATGCTCTACCAACTGAGCCACACAGGACCACTGGTGGAGTCAGTTGGACTCAGTTGTAGTCAGTTGGACTCAGTTGGAGTCAGTTGGACTCAGTTGTAGTCAGTTGGACTCAGTTGTAGTCAGTTGCTCAGTTGGACTCAGTTGGTTGTAGTCAGTTGGACTCAGTTGTAATCAGTTGGACTCAGTTGTAGTCAGTTGGACTCAGTTGTAGTCAGTTGGACTCAGTTGTAGTCAGTTGGACTCAGTTGTAGTCAGTTGCTCAGTTGGACTCAGTTGGTTGTAGTCAGTTGTAGTCGGTGTGTAGTCAGTAGGACTCGGTTGTAGTCAGTAGGACTCGGTTGTAGTCAGTTAGTTGTAGTCAGTAGGTTGTTTTAGTAATGTCACACTGTTGACCATCTTCTACTTCCTCATATTGTGTTGTGCCATGAGGCTTGAGCCATTATATTTATTGGACAGGATAGAGATACAGAAATAGGAAGTAGATCAGAGTTTGACCGCTCCAGCACCCAAGGCTGTTTTTGTAAAGGAGTGGGCCATTTAACCACTTTCACTTATTCTGTGTACTGACTGAGTTAGTGGATACTTCCTCAAGTGAAACCGTTGAAATCAGATACCAAGTGATTCATAGCGTTAATAGAGTTCCAATCTATTCGTATTATTTATCTTCATGATATGGGCATTATCAGTATAGTGATGTCATGTTATAAGGACACTTTATTCATTTATTTATTTATTTAAGGGGTTGCCATGGAGACGGAAAGAGAGCAGCTTATTCGGCACTGGTCGTCAAGGAGACTGTAAATAACAGACACTCAGGAGAGAACACACACACACACACACCTATCTATGGTCCACGGGGGAGATGACCCCGTCTAGACAGGTGGAAGGCATTATGTCATCCTGTGGTGTGTGTGTGTCCGTGTGCGTGCACGTGTGTGTTTTGCAGAGCTGCTCTGTTCTAGATAATTAACCATACAAGCAACTCTACATCCCACCACAAGCTGTTAAACAGTTAACCCGTTACAGTGCTCTGTTCGCTGTAAGTAACCTGTAGCAACAACAGGGTGATCAAATGAAGATCCTACATCTGTAACCTGTAGCAACAACAGGGTGATCTAATGAAGATCCTACATCTGTAACCTATAGCAACAACAGGGTGATCAAATGAAGATCCTACATCTGTAACCTGTAGCAACAACAGGGTGATCAAATGAAGATCCTACATCTGTAACCTGTAGCAACAACAGGGTGATCAAATGAAGATCCTACATCTGTAACCTATAGCAACAACAGGGTGATCAATTGAAGATCCTACATCTGTAACCTATAGCAACAACAGGGTGATCAAATGAAGATCCCAAACCTCTAACCTGTAGCAACAACAGGGTGATCAAATGAAGATCCTACATCTGTAACCTGTAGCAACAACAGGGTGATCAAATGAAGATCCTACATCTGTAACCTGTAGCAACAATGCTTTTCTCCTCTGACAATACAACATCTGATTCAAAGGGTGTGTGGCAGATATCAAAACTCTTCCTGGTAGGAGACACTTGTGCTTCCTGACCAAAAGGTGGCTATGGAGGAGGGGAGGATCGTCTTCTGTTTACCTACTAATGAATTGACACACTGCTCGACCACTCAACCACTCAACCACTTATCGGTTTCCGGGTCACGGAGGAGAGAGGACAGAGGAGAGAGGGTGGAGAACAAACTTTTGCCCAAATGAGAAAAGGCCAGAGAGACAGACAGAGAGAGAGAGAGACAGACAGACAGAGAGAGACAGACTGAGGGGGACAGAGAGAGAGAGACAGTCAGAGAGGGACAGAGGGAGAAAGACAGAGAGAGACAGACATAGATGGACAGAAAGAGAAAGACAGAGAGGGACAGAGAGAGACAGACAGAGAGAAAAAGAGTGAGAGAAAGAGAGTGTGAATGTGAGCGAGATGCAGGGTCCCTGATTGCGTTGTTACCCTGTGTTCCCATGCAGGTTTGATGGCGGATAAGGAGGAGAAGCCTGTGGGAGAGGAGGAGGACGAGACAGACCTGAACTACACTCCTCCGGCCCAGAAGACCCTGCAGGAGATACAGGAACTAGACAAGGATGATGAGAGTCTCAGGAAATACAAACAGACTCTACTAGGAGCTGGACCAGTGGTGGGAGGTCAGTGTGTGTTACTGTGTGTGTGTGTGTCTGTGTGTGCTTCCTAGCAATTGACATGGACCCTGCCATCAAGACCACAGTAATACAGTACTGGATCACTGCATCAAAGACCAACAGTAAATCTAGTTAACTGGGACCCTGCATCAAGACCACAGTATACTAGTACTGGAACCCTGCCATCAAAGACCCCAGTTAATACTAGTACTGGACCCGCATCAAAGACCACAGTAATACTAGTACTGGACCCTTCATCAAAAGACCACAGTAATACTAGTACTGGACCCTGCATCAAAGACCACAGTATACTAGTATGGACCCTGCATCAAAGACCACAGTAATACTAGTACTGGACCCTGCATCAAAGACCACAGTAATACTAGTACTGGACCCTGCATCAAAGACCACAGTAATACTAGTACTGGACCCTGCATCAAAGACCACAGTAATACTAGTACTGGACCCTGCATCAAGACCACAGTAATACTAGTACTGGACCCTGCATCAAAGACCACAGTAATACTAGTACTGGACCATGTCATCATGTCATCATGTCATCATGTCATCATGTCATCTAGTCATCTTGTGTGTATCATTTACCACTGTCTAATAGAGTTGATTCACCCTGGTATCTAGTGTTATTGCTGCTTTAATAATAGCTCTCACTCAATATTATGACCAGAACCCCCCACTTCTGAACCATCTCTCTGTGTGTGTTTTTCAGACCCGACCATTCCCAATCTCCAGGTCACCAGACTGACCCTGATGTGTGACCAAGCACCTGGTCCTATCACCATGGACCTCTCAGGTAAATACCACTCCTTTACCCCTGGTCCTATCACCATGGACCTCTCAGGTAAATACCACTCCTTTATCCCTGGTCCTATCACCATGGACCTCTCAGGTAAATACCACTCCTTTATCCCTGGTCCTATCACCGTGGACCTCACAGGTAAATACCACTCCTTTACCCCTGGTCTTATCACCGTGGACCTCTCAGGTAAATACCACTCCTTTATCCCTGGTCCTATCACCATGGACCTCTCAAGTAAATACCACTCCTTTATCCCTGGTCCTATCACCATGGACCTCTCAGGTAAATACCACTCCTTTATCCCTGGTCCTATCACCATGGACCTCACAGGTAAATACCACTCCTTTATCCCTGGTCCTATCACCATGGACCTCTCAGGTAAATACCACTCCTTTATCCCTGGTCCTATCACCATGGACCTCTCAGGTAAATACCACTCCTTTATCCCTGTGTCTATCACCATGGACCCTCTCAAGTAATACCACTCCTTTATCCCTGGTCCTATCCACCATGGAGGTCTCAGTTAAATACCACTCCTTATCCCTGGTCCTTCACCATGGACCTTCAGGTAAATTACCACTCCTTATCCCTGGTCCTATCACCATGGAACCTCACAGGTAAATACCACTCCTTTATCCCTGGTCCTATCACCATGGACCTCTCAGGTAAATACCACTCCTTTATCCCTGGTCCTATCACCATGGACCTCACAGGTAAATACCACTCCTTTATCCCTGGTCCTATCACCATGGAGCTCTCAGGTAAATACCACTCCTTACCCCTTGGTTCCTATCACCATGGACCTCTCAGGTAAATACCACTCCTTTATCCCTGGTCCTATCACCATGGACCTCTCAAGTAAATACCACTCCTTTATCCCTGGTCCTATCACCATGGACCTCTCAGGTAATACCAATCCTTTATCCCTGGTCCTATCACCATGGACCTCACAGGTAAAACCACTCCTTTATCCCTGGGCCTATCACCCCTGGACCTCTCAGGTAAATACCACTCCTTTATTTCCCCGGGGCCTATTTACCATGGACCTCTCAGGTAAATACCACTCCTTTATCCCTGGTCCTATCACCCTGGAACCTCTCAAGTAAATACCACTCCTTTATCCTGTCCTATCACATGGAGGTCTCAGTAAATACCACCCCCTTTATCCCTGGTCCTATCACCATGGACCTCTCAGGTAAATACCACTCCTTTATCCCCGGTCCTATCCCATGGACATCACAGGTAAATACCACTCCTTTATCCCTGGTCCCCATCACCATGGACCTCTCAGGTAATACCACTCCTTTATCCCTGGTCCTATCACCTGGACCTCCAGGTAAATACCACTCCTTTATCCCTGGTCCTATCACCATGGACTCTCAGGTAAATACCACTCCTTTACCCCTGGGCCTATCAAACCAGGACCTCTCAGGTAAATACCACTCTTTATCCCTGTCTATCACCATGGACCTCCTCAAGGTAAATCCACCACCTCTCCTTCCTGGAGGTCCCAGTCACCATGGAGTCCATTAAATACCACTCCCTTTAAACCCTGGTCCTAGTCACCATGGACCTCTCAGGTAAATACCACTCCTTTATCCCGCATGGTCCTATCAACCATTGGACCCTCTTCAGTTAAAATCCAACTCCTTTATCCCCTGGTCCTATCACCATGGACATCACAGGAAATACAACTCCGTTATCCCTGGTCCTATATCACCATGGAACCCTCTCAGGTAAATACCACTCACTCCTTTATCCCTCCGGTCCTATCACCAGGGACCTCTCCAGGTAATACCACTGGCCCTTATTCCCTGGTCCTATCAAACCATGGACCCTCTCAGGTATACCACTAACCACTACCTTTATCCCTGGTGGCCCCTACCACCATGGACCTCTCAGGTAAATAACCAACGCCTTTATTCCCCTGGTCCTATCACCATGGACCTCTCAGGTAAATACCACTCCTTTTCCCTGGTCCTATCACCATGGACCTCTCAAGTAAATACCACTCCTTTATCCCTGGTCCATTGGACTTCATTTTCCCCTTATGGCATATCTCTCCACCATCTCTCCATCCCTCCAGTGTAGTGGGATGTGGCTCTAATATGAATGAAATCAGTGTAGTGGGATGTGGCTCTAATATGAATGAAATCAGTGTAGTGGGATGTGGCTGTAATTTGAATGAAATCAGTGTAGTGGGATGTGGCTCTAATATGAATGAAATCAGTGTAGTGGGATGTGGCTCTAATATGAATGAAATCAGTGTAGTGGGATGTGGTTGTAATATGATGTAATCAGTGTAGTGGGGCGTGGCTGTAATATGATGTAATCAGTGTAGTGGGATGTGGGTGTAATATGATGTAATCAGTGTAGTGGGCGTGGGTGTAATATGATGTAATCAGTGTAGTGGGATGTGGGTGTGGTTTTGTTCCACTGTTATTCTGTGATGGAGAAAGACCAGGCGCTGGATGCTGTTCTTGGGGACAGTGTATGCGCTGGTGGGTGTGTCTGTCTCTCTTTGTCTGTATGTGCATATACAGTGTGTGTGTGTGTGTGTGTGTGTGTGTGTGTGTGTGTGTGTGTGTGTTGTGTGTGTTTTTTTCAGGGGGCTGCTCAGCATAGTAATATGGGGTCAACGCCCCTCCTACCGAGCCATGATGATGTCATCCTCCGATATCTAAGTATACCCCACTGTCTTCTATTTCACAAAGGACAACCAACACACACACACATACATACATACATACATACATACATACACACACACACCACACACACACACACACACACACACACACACACACACACACACACAACAACACAAACCACAACTTGAGACTGAGACTAATGTGAAAGGTCACCTGGTTGCTAGACGATAGAACCATCCGAGAGAGAGAGAGAGAAACAGAGAGAGAAGTAGAGAGAGAGAGAGAGCTACACAGAGAGGCAGAGAGAGAGAGAATCTAACCACTTCTGGGAAAATTGGAAAACTCTGAACAAACAACACAAAGAGCTATCTATCCAAAACGGAGATGTATGGATAAACCACTTCTCCAACCCTATAACAAAGAACCAAGAGGAAAAACATATACATGATCAAATAAAAATCTTAGAATCAACTATTAAAGACTACCAGAACCCACTTGATTCTCCAATTACATTGAATAAACTACAGGATAAAATACAAACCCAAAAAGGCCTGTGGGGTTGATGGTATCCTAAATGAAATGATAAAAGGTCCCGTGTAGCTCAGTTGGTAGGGCATGGCATTTGCAACGCCAGGGTTGTGGGTTCGATTCCCACGGGGGGCCAGTATGAAAAAATGTATGCACTCACTTAACTGTAAGTCGCTCTGGATAAGAGCGTCTGCTAAATGACAACAACAAAAAAAATATATATATATACAGACTACAAATTCCAATTGGCTATACTTAAACTCTTTAACATCATCCTCAGCTCTGGCATCTTCCCCAATATTTGAAACCAAGTACTGATCACCCCAATCCACAAAAGTGGAGACAAATTTGACTCCAATAACTACCGTGGGATATGCGTCAACAGCAACCTTGGGAAAAGACTCTTACATTTCTTCAGCGAAAACAATGTACTGAGCAGATGTCAAATTGGCTTTTTACCAAATTACCGTACGACAGACCACGTATTCACCCTGCACACCCTAATTGACAAATAAACAAACCAAAACAAAGGCAAAGTCTTCTCATGCTTTGTTGATATCAAAAAAACGTTCGACTCAATTTGGCATGAGGGTCTGCTATACAAACTGATGGAAAGTGGTGTTAGGGAGAAAACATACGACATTATAAAATCCACATACACAAAAATTGGCATAAAACACACACATTTCTTTCCACAGGGCCGTGGGGTGAGACAGGGATGCAGTTTAAGCCCCACCCTCTTCAACATATATATCAACGAATTGGCGAGGGTACTAGAACAGTCTGCAGCACCCGGCCTCACCCTACTAGAATCTGAAGTTAAATGTCTACTGTTTGCTGATGATCTGGTGCTTCTGTCACCAACCAAGGAGGGCCTACAGCAGCACCTAGATCTTCTGCACAGATTCTGTCAGACCTGGGCCCTGACAGTCAATCTCAGTAAGACAAAAATAATAGTGTTCCAAAAAAGGTCCAGTTGCCAGGACCACAAATACAAATTCCATCTAGACACCGTTGCCCTAGAGCACACAAAAAACGATACATACCTCAGCCTAAACATCAGCGCCACAGGTAACTTCCACAAAGCTGTGAACGATTTGAGAGACAAGGCAAGATGGGCCTTCTATGTCATCAAAAGGCACATGAAATTTGACATCCCAATTCGGATCTGGCTAAAAATACTTGAATCAGTTATAGAACCCATTGCCCTTTATGGTTGTGAGGTCTGGGGTCCGCGCACCAACCAAGAATTGACAAAATGTGACAAACACCAAATTGAGACTGCATGCAGAATTCTGCAAGAAATATCCTCTGTGTACAACGTAAAACACCAAATAATGCATGCAGAGCAGAATTAGGCCTTTAAATTGTTTAACTTGGGTCAAACGTTTCAGGTAGCCTGTTCTGCCCACACATTTTCTATAGGATTGAGGTCAGGGCTTTGTGATGGCCACTCCAATACCTTGACTTTGTGGTCCTTAAGCCATTTTGCCACAACTTTGGAAGTATGCTTGGGGTCATTGTCCAATTGCAAGACCCATTTGCGACCAAGCTTTAACTTCCTGACTGATGTCTTGAGATGTTGCTTCAATATATCCACATAATCTTCCTTCCTCATGATGCCATCTATTTTGTGAAGTGCACCAGTCCCTCCTGAAGCAAAGCACCCCCACAGCATGATGCTGCCACCCCGTGCTTCACGGTTGGGATGGTGTTCTGCTTGCAAGCGACCCCCTTTTTCCTCCAAACATAATGATGGTCATTATGGCCAAACAGTTCTATTTTTGTTTCATCAGACCAGAGGACATTTCTCCAAAAAGTACGATCTTTGTCCCCATGTGCAGTTGCAAACCGTAGTCTGGCTTTTTTATGGCAGTTTTGGAGCAGTGGCTTCTTCCTTGCTGAGCGGCCCTTCAGGTAATGTCGATATAGGACTCGTTTTACTGTGGATATAGATACTTTTGTACCTGTTTCCTCCAGCATCTTCACAAGGTCCTTTGCTGTTGTTCTGGGATTGATTTGCACTTTTCGCACCAAAGTATGTTCATCTCTAGGAGACAGAACGCGTCTCCTTCCTGAGTGGTATGACGGCTGCGTGGTCCCACTGTGTTTATACTTGCGTACTATTGTTTGCACAGATGAACGTGGTACCTTCAGGCGTTTGGAAATTGCTCCTAACGATGGATGAATCAGACTTGTGGAGGGTCTACAATATTTTTTCTAAGGTCTTGGCTGATTTATTTTGATTTTCCCATGATGTCAAGCAAAGAGGCACTGAGTTTGAAGGTAGGCCTTGAAATAAATCCACAGGTACATCTCCAATTGACTCAAATGATGTGAATTAGTCTATCAGAAGCGTCTAAAGCCATGACATCATTTTCTGGAATTTTCCAAGCTGTTTAAAGGCACAGTCAACTTGGTGTATGTAAACGTCTGACCCACTGGAATTGTGATACAGTGAATTATAAGTGAAATAATCTGTCTATAAACAATTGTTGGATAAATTACTTGTGTCATGCACAAAGTAGATGTCCTAACTGACTTGCCAAAATGATAGTTTGTTAACAATACATTTGTGGAGTGGTTGATAAACAAGTTTTTTAATGACTCCAACCTAAGTGTATGTAAACTTCCGACTTCAACTGTATACCCCTCTCTTCCTCTTTTGTAGCTGTATAATATTGGTCTGTGATCATCTCCAGTTATAAACCATAACCGGCAGACCAGGGATTCCCCTAGTATAATGTTGACTGAATCTTCCTCTCTCTGAAACTGATCTGAAATCAGCAACAACTAAACTGCTGTCTGTCAGTGGTTTTGAAGCGGAGGATTATTGCATTGTGTTTGACACCAAAGCTGTATGCTTAAAGCTACTGTCTGGGATTCAAACAACAACACGGCTGCCCCGCCACATATACAGGATCATTCATTTAAAAATGAAATAAATCCCAGACTGTAGCTTAAAGCTAGAAGGGTCATACAGTAGGTTCACAGCACCCACTCCTCCCCTCCCCTCCTACGTCCTCCCTCCTCCCTCTCCTCCTCCTCCCCTCCCCTCCTCCCTCCCCCCCTCCTCCTCCCTCCTCCTACTCCTCCCTCCTCCTCCTCCTCTCCTCTCTCCTCCTCCTCCCTCTTCCTCCCGCTCCCTCCTCCTCTCCTCTCCCTCCCTCCCCCTCCCCTCCTCCTCCCTCCTCTCCTCCTCCTCCCTCCTCCCGCTCCCTCCTCCTCCTGCTCCCCCTCTACTCTGCTCCCCTCCTCCCTCCTCCCTCCTCTACCTCCTCCCTCCTCCCTCCTCCTCTACTCCCTCCCTCCTCCCTACTCTCCTCCCTCCCTCCCTCCCTCCCTCCCTCCCTCCCTCCTCCCTCCTCCTCCCTCCCTCCTCCCTTCCTTCCTTCCTTCTTCCTTCCTTCCTCCTCCCCTCCCCTCATTTTCTGATGGAAAGAGGAGACAGACAGAAATGAGAGAGAGGCAAGCTAAGAGGTAGGGGTGGAGGAGAGGGAGGGAGGGGTAGGGTGGTTAGAGGGAGGGGGAGAGAGGGATAGGGGGGGTAGAGAGACGAGGTGAGAGAGGAGGAGAGTGAAAAGGGATGCCTGATAAATTACCTGCATGTGCTACCTTGATGTGCTGGTTCTATCCGTATGCAGTTTGTGGGTTATTACCAGAACAGACGGAGGGAGGGGAGAGAGGGAGGGAGGAGGGTTCGGGAGTTGAGATGGAGATGGAGGGAGGGAGGAGTAGAGAGAGTGCGATCGCTTTGTTTCAGCGAGGATCTAGAGAGATCTAGAGAGAGAGAAAGGAGAAGAGAGGAGAGGATCTTGGATTTAATAGTGAGGGAAACGATGGGAACATGTCTGACTGTATACAGAAGGAGATAGAAGAAGAGAGATAGAGAGAGAGAAGGGGTAGCTAGAGGGAGAGGAGACGGGGG